TAACTAAGAGTGACACAACAGCCATCTTTTCGTTAGTCTATTTATCCTTTCATTTGTTAGGAAAAACGACCAATATGAAGTGTTTTTGATAAGATTTTCTCTAACTCATATCAACGATATCTTTAATTAAGGGATCACGCAACAACTTTAAGTGGTACGAGAGAACATAACTTTTACATCGAAACACAATTAAGTATGCAATGCATGAAACCAACTGGTTCAGATATTAAGGTACAAATCCGGATCCATACCCGAAAGAACGCAGCCATAAAGTTCCGCTCTCATAGCAATATTGTCGTTCCATACTTTTGGCTTTAGTAGCACGTATCGAGCAATAATTGGTTGCTGCAGGACATGGGTCACCACGCTGTCGCTATCACTATTTCCTGTAAACACCTGAAAACAGAAGAAATGTTGAGTCTCGCGAGTGTTATGATAAGGTAATGATACTGATGCTGACGATAATTATATATAGGAAAATCTGAAATATTAAAGGAGGTCTTTGTTTTCTAAGCTTACCAAACTACAAATCCTAAACCCCTCAAAAGCTGTGCATTGGTCTTTCGTTTTTTTAGTCGCACATTTATCTCTTCTGGAACTGACATACACATCTGTAACAATTGTATTACTGTGATATCCAGGCTAAGCAAACCCTTCATTTTTATTGAGAAATCTTATTACAATTGGAGGGAGGGGGAAGGTTCAATCCACCACCTCTCGAAATGTTTGGAACAACTAGTGACAGTGATGCCGACCATATGCTAAAGAACAGCCTTGTGCCATTGACAGTTTCTAATTTATAATTTTGATAACGGCACGTGAAAATGATCTATTTCCACTGGTCAAAACTTCGGCATTACCATTAAGACTGATTCTTTTTTGATAGCGGTGGAACTTTCTAACAAGCCAGCCATATACATCTATGTTCAGCGTAATCGTATATAATGAGGTCTTACCTTATCAGCACCATTTTCTTGATATGTGTGGAAAGGAAGAGAAGAGGAGCCTTGATCCGCACTGTAGGAAAGAGTATACTTCTGTACCCACCACGCACGACCGTGGTAGCCTTGGGTTTGCAATTTTGTGATTTTGACATTTCGCCAAAAGTCGACTTGAAGAAATTGATTTTGGTTATTGGTTTTAGCTGCCCATGCGCCGGTCTTCCCTCTGATAGCGGCAAGGTTCAGCCTGGCGTTTTCCGGACCATGATCTTTATCCAACGATGAAGAAGCGCTCATTTGCTGGTTAGTAACAAGACCGTTTTCCAAGCCAAGTGCCTCTTCACTAGTACATTCTGATAATAAGTAAAAGAACATATCTCTCAACTAATCGATCGGCCCATCAGTCGGTCAAATTTTAACTTAATTTTAATTTTAACTTAATTCTTAAGTTAAGGTGGTTGGCAAGTGTTTCTTGCACTTTCCAGCAGTTATACTTAGATAGACCAATACTGCCACACCTTATCAAAATATGCTTCGATATAGGTATCGCTTAAAGATGATTTCTCGTCTGTACTGCGCACTCTCGAGAGTTTGTTTGAGTTTTTTTGGTTTGTTTCATGTAAGACATCACGAAATGTGAAAATTTCGCAGCTACTTAAATGAAGCAAATTCAAAGTTTCAAAACAACCGCCGTTATGGATGCTTCGTTCTTTCTCATAATACTTGATGAAACAACTTCGCAGCTGTAAAAATCAATGAAGCTGTTGGAAAAAAGAATTTGAAAGGCCTCAAAGATAAGGCTTGGGGCTCGTAACGAATAATTTTGATTCGCATTCCATCGAGTGAGATTAGGGTGCTGAGACTGCGCAGTACAGACTGGAAATCATCTTTAAACACCCAATCATTGGTGAACAAGTTATGGTCATCTTAAAACCCCTTCATTTTAGCTTTAAATCATGCTTTTAATTCAAAAACTGTTTGGTGAAACTCACTTTTTTCTATCATCGAATTTTGATAAGCGTGTTGAAATGCGGCTTTTCCAAAAATTGGAACCACTATTCTTTCCAGTTTCTCTTCACCCTTTTCACCTTAGATACAAGTTATGTCGTTCTAAGCTATTTAACTTACAAAACTGCATACATACTGTATTACACTACTGCATACAGTACCTGCGTCGAGGGAAACAATCGAAGGTGTTTCAAACCATTTCATCGGAATGTACTCGACGTCCTTAGGCAAGGACTGATCTCCTTCTTGCAACGAAACGCATTTATCTTCTACAAAAGTGATAAAGTATATTGATTTACAGCTGACATGTATCTGTAATTTTGATTTCTCAGATTAGGAATTAATTAGGATTCGCCCAACCGCATTCTTTGTTGAACCTGCTTAAGCGCTAAAATCCAGCGTGTATTGTTATTGTACCGCACGCCTATGCGAAAACAGCAAATTAGCAAGCTATAAAACTTTTGCATATTCTGCGTTACTATATAAAGAGGGTCGTGGGCTTTTTTTTATGAATGTTACTAAGTGCGCCCTCACGTGTCAATTGTGAAATAATCCACACAGCCAACTCCAAAACATAATGTTGCAAGGATCCATTTTTTAATACATCGTTCTGAAATTCCTTGGGACAATTTATCCAGCCACGAACTTTCAGTATTAAGAATTAATATATTCGTAGCTCGACCAGAAACTGACTAGCTCAGGCAAATATTGCAAACAAAGATTTTGGAAGGAAAACAAAAAGAAAAAAAAGAAGAAACAATCAGACCACATTTTCACAAAGCTTACCGGAGATCTTTTCCTCTGCAAGACGTGATGAAAAAAAAAAACAAAAACAAAAACAAAAACAAAAACAAAAACAAAAAAAAACAAAAAAAAAACAAAAAAACAAAACAAGTTAAGAGACAACGTGAAGTCTTATAGAATAAACAAACTTAAAACATTGCATACTTCATTTAGGACATAAATGCTGTTTTCCAGATAAAGATAGAAAAAAAAAAAGGGAAAAAAAAATTAAAAAGCAGTGTAAACAGCATAATTTTTAGACAGCATTTTCTTTGTATTCCCAGTCTGTAACACTAACGTGTGAAATTGTCTTTAGCGAGAACCCTCTTAGTTACGGCCTGATTGGTAGTAACTCGCCACCTTAATCATCCGGGGGTCCCGCTTTGGAGACAACGAAATATTTCGCCCTGCCTCGCAACCGCCCTCACGAAATGAATGTCTCCCGGAAATATTAAGGGTCCCAGTCTCTTGTTGGGTTCAAAATGAGTATGTCTTAGCTTGTGTAGTACCCAATCCAGACGAGCTGCCTATATCATGCACCTTTTCCGTGACTCCTAACACAGCTGTCGATGATTGCATACTCTTGCTACTCGTTCACCAGAAGTTTCATCAAGGATAAATATATATATTAAAAAAATGTGAAATACCAAGCATATGAGAATGTCAATAGTTTAAAAATGATAAAACTTGCGTACTTTTAACCGGTTTACTTGAGACACCATAAATTTCCACTCTAAGGCAGTTCCATTTATTTCGTTTCGTTGGATGGAAGCGAATATATCTTGCAGACACTGACACTGGTAACTTGTGTTGGTCTACTGTCTTGCTTCCACCTTTTCTGTTAAATTCCTATCAAACAAAACAGTTTTGACTTCGTAAGTGGGAAGAAGGCATCCACCTTTTCCATACAATGCTATCCCGCTGCATTGCATTCTCAGGAAGCATACAAATTTAAATGTGGTGTCTGTAATGCTAGCTATGTTGAGAAAATAACTACACACTCCTGCAACATTTACTTTCTCAATCGTGATACATTTGGGGTACAGGGTTAAGAGTCACGTTAGAATCTATGTTATGTGGCACGTTTTTCTTTATTGGACTCGGCTCCCATTAGCTTCCAACTTCAAACTGAGGCTCTCCAAAATGAATGGGAACGCCACGCACTGATCAAACAACTCATTATCAGTATTTCTTGTTTCCATTTCAATAAGTTGTTTGTTGTCCCACTTAGATATAACATAATATTTTCACAGCTCTATATTCATTATTTTGTGGCACTCCTTGTATCAGTTTAAGGATTCGTATCCGTATCATGTCAATTAATTTTTAGTATTATTCAGTTGAGCGGTTTTAATTTGAATGTCGAAAAGTAATTGGTGTTGTATCAACTACGATCTAGTAGAATTGGCTTAAAAAGACTCGCGCCACCTTTTATCCAATCAGAAGTAAAATCAAAACCAATCGTGAGTCACTCGAATTCGTTTTCGAACGCTTTGCTTCATGTTCAGCTGCATGTAGCTACTCCTAGTTTGGATTTGTTGACTTTGTCTTCAGTGTTCTTTTGTGATTAGCTAAAGCGATATCTTTCGTTTTGGTTTTATGTCACTCAATTGGAAACCCCTCTGCCTGATCATCCATCAGCAGTTCAACCACCTTGAACTGATGATGGATGCAGAAGGTATCCAATACATATCTTATAAACTCAAACGATGTGTCGTTGTTTTGAAATGTTTCATTTTGTCTACACCATTGCTACGATATGTACATTAACATTGTCGATTCATTGTAGCTCTTGCATTCGATTTCATGATCATGTGAACCTTTCCTTTTGAATAATGCCACCATGTGAATTTCAGATATAAACCGACCATGTGAGATCAAACACAAGAAAAAATGGATCTGTTCTCACCACGTCTTCATTCCCATCCTTGTAAGGTGTCCACATTCTACCACCAGATAAATAAGACATCTTGAAATCTGTGACCCACTCATGACCATTTATGTCTCCTTGGGTCGCAACACCACACACGTCAAAACGTTTTCCAAGATCAATCTGCAACCAGTCGTTATTCTCATCAGCTTCTTTGGTGCACCAGCCATTGCCCCTGTTACCGTTGAGTCGACCGTAAGCGGCCTGCGAGTTATTATGTAGGGAAGATGCTGTCATTTGACGGTCTGGGATTTTCTTTTGGTCTGAAACGCCTACAGGCTTGGTGAAGCAGTTATCTCCAGATCCTGAACTTAGATTTTCTTTTGAACTTGCTGAATATAAAATCTCCCATCCTTTGAAATAATAGTCAATACATCTTTATTAACGAAAGGTAATATTGCATTTACTAGTCACAAGGAGCGCTAACACCAAACTCTACGGCGTCCTTTTGGAATTTTAAATTAACGGCCCACTGGTGAAAGGTCTGGAGCCGAAAACTTATTAAGTATCGAGTAGAAGACGACAGATCATATCTGGCATCTCAGATCTTTATTTTTTAGTTATCTAATTAAGAAATCCTGTATCAAATTTCATCTTGTCGAATGCCTAATTAGAAAAACACGGTAAGCATGCATGTTCTAAGAGAACAGCCTAAAGATGAACCTACCTTGTCCAAAACCCACATCCATAATTGTGAGAAAAATGAACGTTGATATCAGATGGCAAGGATTCATCGGCTCTCACCATTCAAATTATACACGTAACAAAACCACGCCCGGATAAGAAAAAAAGATCTAAATATAACCTAACGCAATCTCTACAAGGTCCACTTTCGCCAACTAAAGAAACGCGTCTAGGCATCCACATAAATTGAAGAAAACAATGAAATAAACGAATAATATACATTTTTCCACTTATATTTCGACAGGAACGATACGCTTGCAATCTTTAAAAAGGCTGACTGTCAAATAGCTGAGGACCGTTTTGAGAGTACCTGTGCACTCGTGATAGCTTAAGAAATCGCTCGCTATATCACTGGGTTAGGTTTACAACGATTCTGCCTGTTTTCCTGCGGAGTAGAAACCAGTATAAAAAGGAAAAGAAAAAGAATTATCGTTTCATAGAAAAACACAAATATCGCAGACATCCATGGCAGTGAAGTCATGGTGGTCTTCTCATTGCTCGATTAAAAATTGATCATTGTAGCAGAATAATTTTTCGGGAAACCAAATGTTTTTATGGTCTATCTTTTGGACAGATTCAAGCTCTTATTCTTTCACCATTTAACTTGCTTTGCATCTTTGATCAATTAGCCATACATGAATATGTATAACTATAAAATGGAAATGTTCGTAATTATGTACTAACAATTAAGCAACTGTAGTTGACCCATACCTGTCATTTTTGTCACATGTTTAACCGTAGGATAGTTCTTTCCTGATATACAGCTTAAAGATATAAAATTATCGCGTATTGTGAAGTCTTTATTGTAATTCCATTGCCCTAAGTTTTCATGGACAAGCTAAAGAGACCATTTTCGTATTTTCGTCACTGGAATGGAACAAACTTGCAAGACGTGTCTACATTTCTCTTAATATTCTCCTTGGAAGTACACGGCCTACAATATTTCTGTAAAGGATATCAATTTCTTGTATTTTTTGTTTTTATTATACACTGTAAAATGTTTCTTGTTCTTTCCACGGGTGTCATATTTTCTTAATTTGGACTTAAATTTCTCTTACTTTAACGAAGCTATTCATACGAAGAAAGCTGTTGCAAGTCGGAATCAAAGGCCTTGTTAACTTCGTTTTTGCATGAATTTGATCGATCGCTTGATCGCTTGAGCACATTGTTAAGCTCTTAATAGACCTTTTCACACTTCGTTCTTTTTATATCGTGAATGCGCAGTCTTAAGCGTGTTTTAGGAGTTGGCTAATGATAAATTTCACTCGCTCGGTAAAGCCAGTAANTCTTACTTTAAAGAAGCTACTCACACGATGAAAGCTGTTGCGAGTCAGAATCAAAGGCCTTGTTAACTCCGTTTTTGCATGAATTTGATCGATCGCTTTATTTCTTGAGCACATTGTTAAGCTTTCAATAGACCTTTGCCCGCTTTGTTCTTTTTAAATAGTGAATGCGCAGTCTTGAGAGAGCTATAGGAGTTAACTAATGATAAACTTCACTCGCTCGGTAAAGCCAGTAAGTCGGTAGATGGGTCAAAAACATTTTGAGGCAATTCCGCTGACCAGTTTATTACGTGAGAGGGACGACAAGAGGGCTGCAACACTTGAGAAATGCTCACCAGCTGCCATTTTGAATTTTCATTTAAAAAATGTTATGCGTTTAACCAAACATCAATCAACCTCATTCACAGGTCTTCATCACTTGTACCTCGTTCACAGAATCAGGTTCCATTTTCCTTACGCACAATGCAATGATATGCTCATTTCCATAATCATGCATGGTTATCCAAATGTTTTTGGTACTTTTGTGAACAGCTATTACTTATACTCAAAATATGAAAAAGACATAGACATAGACATAGACATAGACAGTATATTTTACTTGGACAACACACTTAGCTATGGTAAAGGTACATCACATAGACTGGTTAAGCAGAGTCTACAGGACGCACTAGCTAGTTTACAGGTGCGCGAAAAAAAAAAACAAAAAAACAAAACAAACAGAGAAACAAACAAACAAAAAGTAAAAATGTATGTACAATTAGTTAAATTAAAGGACAAAATTATCTACACCATTTCATTTAACTAGTCCATTCACGAGTTTGCTCATACGACACTTTGATTGTTATATATTTTAATTCTTATGTACCATCGAAAAGTTTACACGATTGCAGTAAATATATTTAATTCTAGACGTCGCTCAGCTTAGCGATGCCAAACTATGTTATTCCCTCGATAAAGCGTCTATTGTTGCAGCCTGCTTGTTTAGATCGAGACTCATTGCTCATAGCTTTAATAACGTGAACGAAAGCTTTGTTTTGCTCTTTTTGCGACCCTCCATTTTGAAGTTATATTATTCCACATAGTTGCCGAGCCAGGAAAGGCCGATTAATGGTCGCTGTTTTTTTCCCCAATAAAGAGAGTGCTGTAGAACCAAACGAAGGATTGAAAGCAACGTTTTGTAGGAGGCTTGTTATTTCTCCCTTCTCTTGGGGGGTCTGTGGGGCGACATAGCACAGGGGAAAGTACGGCTGGTTTGCCGAGGACGGTCTAGCAGTTCTATTTCTTAACCCTGCAAGGTCAATCTGTCAATTCTGAGTGAGGAAGTGCAACCTCCCGGCCACCTTCTGAAGATGAATCTTCTTTAATTTAATTGGGAGTGAAAATGGAAAATCCCATCTTACCGCAGAACATGATCGGATTTCTCGAAGACCGTTTGCGCTGAAGTTATCTTTCTTGAGTTTCCCTCAAAATCGTATCTTATCAACGTTTGTCATAAATCGCGGGGCTGGCTCTTTCGTTTTATGTAGTCCTGTTAATCACAGAGGAAAAACTTTAGCGACGTGACACGCCAAGCCAATTGAAGCGAGCAGTTAAACATAAGTTAGAAAAAGCGTAGGCGCTTTCGCTGTCATCACCAGTAGCCTCCGATATATTACGATCTGAACTTAGAAATTCAAGGCGTCTCACCCATACAATGTAAGCCTCGTGTCACCGGACACGAGGCAAAAAGTGTATCCTGAATAAGGATGTTGAACATTCACAACAGAGACAGACGTTACGATGAAACGTTACAAAGTGAGAACATAGAAATACATCCGATTAAATGTAAATTTGCAATGAGATAATTTTATCTCAACAATGGATTTCAACAGGTGCAAACTTCACCTTGATCTTATATAAGTGCGGTTACGATTGCTCCATGCTACATTAAGTGTGTGTAGTATTTTTTTATTGCAAAGTTCTATTAAATCTCGTAAGAGCAGTAAGAGAGATTGCTGCAAAACATAAACAGTGTAACAAAAATTGGGGAATTATTTCTTCAAGTACGTACTGGTACCAGCTCAACTTCAAAATGACCTGAGTCTTTTTGCTTTTTTTTTTTCATTACACGATTTGCCTCACCCACACTAAGTACGCGCGTATTCACTATTCTTTTAATTTAAAGCCAGAGTGGCAATATCCTTATTGTTATTTTTTCTTGTCCATTTGACGTTGGCTTATGGCATGGTACTTTGGTCCTAATTAACGGATTAACGAAACAAGATGAATCTTTTCTAAATGCTATCGACCTTTATGTTTTTGACAGTCTTGAATTTGGGAATCGGACGAGGTAATTTCCAAATGTAAAAAATATTTCCCATTAATTGCTAAATCATTTTGAAATTAGATTTATTTTTTTGTAAGGTGTATTTGAACGTAATCAAGAAGAACATGGATTTTACAGAGTTGTATACTTCTAGACATATTAGGCTATTGGAATAAAATGACAAGAGATAGTAGAATGCAATACTCGATAGAGTAAGCCCTGTACAGAAATAGCTTAATCAAAAATATTTCATGCTTTTATAGAAGACTGTCGAATTTGATTAAAGTGGCAACGAGATTAAAAGATATATTACTTCCTTCTCTTTAAAAACGAAAATTATAGAAACAGGAGAGACTATTGAACTGAGAATTATGGTCGATGACAAAACTTCCAAAAGTCTG